GTGTGTCTCGGGCACCCTGCCCGTGGCGTTAGCGGGGCAGACGGCACCAAGCCGGGTGGGCGCCAGGCGAAACCTTGCACCCGCATCCCTGAGCCACCCGACGGGGTGGTGCCCGCCAAGGTGGACCATCGCGTCTGGCGTGGAGTCTCGCCGTCTCAGCCCTCTGCCGAGGAGATGGACCTTCCCCCCTCCCCCCAACCCCTTGGCCCTGTGCGGTGCTGCCTGGCACTTGTGCCACCTTCCCGAATCTCGGAGTCAGGCACCGACTGGGAGGAACTGCACGAGGCCCCGGGGAGGCACTACTGTGTCCCAGAGTTTGGATGGAAGGCTTGCTTCTCTAGCTTTTTAACCGTTTACAGTCTAGGCCTTTTGCCCAAGGTGGAGGGGGGAGGTGAGGAGGGTCTATATTAAGCATCCGTACTCTGTGGCATTTTGGAGCCTCCGAAGCACCTGCTCTTGGAGGAGAATGTTACCGTCCTCTGAAATGTTATGACTGGGTGGGGAGGAAGAGATGCTGGGCCGCATGCAATGCAGTGCAGAGGTGGAGAAGCATGTGCTCAGCTCTTCTGTAAAGGCAAAAGACTGGCTGGCAGAGCAGTATATCTGGATGAGGAGATTTTGAAGTTAGTGATACCTTGCCACTTCTCAGACGGTTTGGAGAGGTACCTGAGCTGCTGACCCAGGGCTGAGCCCCAGGCACAGCTTAATCACAGCACCCACCAAGTCACGCACCCCTTCCGCGTCTTTGGGTGGACCCTGGTGCTGGCCCTGCGCCCACCATTTGCCGCAGGATCATGTTCCTCCCATGTGTCTGGGGGCTAGGTAAGAAAAAGTGGGAGCCTTCTACACTCATACTCGTTTCAGGACTGTCCAAAGCTGACGCTTGCTCTTTGCTTGGAACAGCGTTGTCCCAGTCGGCTCACCCAGTGCATGTTATTGCTCTCTTCCTCAAACCGCAGTGCCTAGCACGAGGTCTCTGTGCTCAGCAGAGCCTCATGGTTGCTTTCAGGCCACCATCCGAGGAGACCAAGTACCAAGCAGGGGACCTGTCTGTGAACAGTGCTTGCGCTCTGCTTTACGTGCTCATGTTATGCACAATTCACTTTCCTCATGCACATTTTGCCTTGGTACTATGCGATACCGGGTGCTAGTTTGTAGCTCGTATACGCCCTTTCTTTCAGCTTATGATGTTTCTTCTTCGCTTGGACCTGTGGCTCTGTGCATCTTCATTTTTGAAGCAAAATGAATATGTTTTTTAGCAAAACCAGCCTCCTGACATCATTGCAAGCTTTTATGCCATAAATACTTTAAAAAGCTGAAGGTGCTAGAAGTTCATTTGCACTTTTGGTCATTCAGAAAGGCAAAGTAGTTACCCGCATAGATAGCAGCTCCGACAATTACCTCTATCACACACAGGCACGTTGTAGTTTCATCAGTTTCATCAGAGACAGTCTCCCTGGATCGCTTAGTGTGTGCCAGGCTCTGTCTGAGGTGCTGCTTAGTGCTTGTCCTCTGCTAGCTTTTTAAATTCCAGTTTATATGAGCTGAAAAACTTTTTTCTTTTGCAGAGTTAGGCATTAGCATATACAATCTTTTCCTCCCTCAGCCCCTAGTCAAGTGCATCTTCTGCTATTGTTTGATTTAATGAATTAAGTTTTAATTATAGTGCAAGTGACCTCAGAGACAGCACAAGTTAACCAAAACAGTCCTGCTCTGTCCCTTGCTCCTGGTAAATAGAGTTGACTGTTTATGACTAACCTGTGTTTGCTCTGTGATCTGCTTCTGGCCTCCGATTTGATGCCATTACAGTCACTCCAAGGGGGATGTGAAGTGCCTCTCTAGAACTGACAGTTTAGTACATGATTTTCTGCAGTGCTGATAAGCCTTTTAAGAAGATTTTCTCCTAGGTAAAAATACTTGAGTAACATTGATGGTGACAGAAAATTTCTAGTAATTCTCAAACCAGTGTGCGAGGGCATATGTTGTCACAGCATAAGCAAGTAATTGCTCCAGTTCCCGCTTCAGATATTTCCTTAGGACCCCTTACTTCTCAAGGTGTGATGGTCATATAACATTTGGGAATTGGTTATTGCTACTTCATGCTTTGCATATTCTTTTGGTTTGGTTAAACTGGGGCTCATCTTCAGATTGTGCATTTTTGGGCAAAGCTACTCCCTATTCAGTGCAATGTCATCTTGAACAGCTGGTATGTCCCATAGCAATAGCATTGATGATAACAAGAGGGGGCTTTTCTCTTTTAATTATGATAGGTAGCAACTTAAAGCTTATTATTTTTCAGAGTGTATTTTTTGTTGTGTTCTTTTGCATAGGAACAGTCATTCTGGGTCAGGCAGAAGGTCCTTCGAAGTCCATTATCTTCTCTCTGAGAAGAGCTGGCAGTGGGAATTTAGAAAAAGAGTATAACAGAGACAGGCAAATACAGAGTGACCCTTGTCCCGGTATGCCCTCTTATCTTGCTGAAGCTTAGAGCCTTTCTAAGTGTGAAATTCTAGCTGTACCTATGTATGTAATCACCTTCAGGGATTTTTTTTTTTTTTACATGGATGTCTACAATCACTTTTTGAATGCTTTATACTTTTGGTATCCACGATATCCCTGCAGCAAGCTGTTGTACAGCAGAACTATCCACTGGGCTTATGAAAGAAGTACTTCTTGTTTGTTTAAAACTTCTTTTAAAGAAAAGTGTATGTCACACTGAAAGCCAAGCAACTGTGGAAAAGTTTTACGTAGCGATAGTGATATTTGCTTTAGTAAACTAAAGTCAGCTAGCTAAAGCTAGTCCGTGCCCTGTATTTGAAAAATTATTAGGCCAAAGAAGAGGTACTAGCTGCATAGAGGGCCATTACTACAGATAGAAGGTCCACATTTTTTTTATGTACTTAGATTTCAAGTTTTTTGAGCCAGTCTTTCCTGAGTTTGTGCAGTGCTTGTCTCATTAAAGTCTTGATCCTGGACTTGGGCTCCAAGACACTATAACAACACAAATAATGGTAAGGTATTATTTGCACAATAAATAGCAAGCAATTAAAGAATTGGCCAGTGGCTGGTGAGTTTTTTGTATATGACTGCACGTATTTCAGTCCCTTTCTGAGAGGCTCATGATCTAGAGAGAAGTGTCCTTACCAAAAAACAAACAAACAAAACCTTAAACCCGTGTTCCTTGTACTTAAGATTACATTCCCTATTTTTTGTTTCCAAACAATGCTGATCACCTGTGATGATGCTAGTCCCATCTTCTCCCTTGAGCTGACAGTTAGTTGCCAGCATCTCAGAAATTTGTACAGAGATAATTCTCTAAGTAGGTGTATAGTCAGGAGACTTAGAGGAGTCAAGAGACCCCCAGCAGGGACATCTGTCCATTTTAGTCTATAAACTACTTTAAACAGGAAAATCTGCATCTGAAAACTCTGCTAAGGCTGTGGAAGATTGACTTGAATCATGGTCATCCTCTACTTCAAAATGCAGCCTTTCTCAGCTCTTTGCATTTATCACCTTGGGGGGATCAAAAAAGCAGCAGCCCTGCCATGCACGCAGAGCCTAGGGAAGAGGTGTGGGTTGTGGAGCTATCTATTTGCTGCGGGTGGCAGCTAATGGACCCTCACCTGGGTCTCAGCTCTTCTCCGCAGGGCTGTGTGATAGGGGATAACTAGCTGGTCTGCAAAGCTGGGGGGAGGAGATGGGGGGAGGGATCCTCGGCTCACCCTGCTATCCGAAATTCCAGTATAAAGCCATGAAGTCTAGGTTGCTTTTCTCTTCTTCCCTCTCTTTTCTCTCTGTGAACTCTCCTCCACAGCAGTGCAGCAGAACAAAGTGAAGCAAGGCTTGGAGCTGGTCTGTAAGCCATTGCCCTTTGCAAGCTCTCCCTTCTAGACACTAGAGACTCAGTGCTTCTGAAGACCAGCAGGGTTTTTCATTGCATTTAACCCTTCTTTGGGCAACAAATGGATGGGATAATGTATGTCTCCTGTGAGGGATTCCTGTGCTTGCAGGCCGTGTTTCTTTTTGGGTTTTGCAAGGATGTTAAGCAGTGTCACTTGTTCCCTGCTACCTCATCCTTTCCCGTTCACTAAGGTAAATCTGGGGCCTGGGGTTTGCTGACAGCCCGTCTTTTCTCTTGGCCTCCATCTTAGCCACAGACTTGGAGACTAACCATGGGGGGATGCTGTTTTTTTTCCTCATAAACTTCTTCCTTGCCAGGCATTAGTTTGAGACCAGAGAGGTAATACTGGACCTTCACCTAGCACATGTGTGAATAATATGGCAAAACTCCTGCTTTTGTCCTGAGGATGGCTTGGGAAGTTAATAGGAAGCCACAGCTCCTTTCTTCCCGCTCTGTTCAGGGTATGCCTATGCAGAC